CCCAGCTCACTCCCCTCACATCACCACCACATCACACCCCTCACCCATCCTCCCCTCCGGTGCAGGATAACTGGTAATGTTTGAGATCGCCCTCTGTCAGACTCTCAATGGGAGGGACACGAGGAACACGAGCTGCAGCTCAAGACGTGGATGGCCGCCCATGGACACTCTCCTGCCACATCATCAGCAGGTGCAGTGCGGTGCAATGGAGTTGAGGCAGGGTACAGTGGGCTGCAAAGTGGCCAGTGCGGTTCTGCGTTGTGATGTGAATTGTGGTGGTTTAGAGTGCAATGCTGTCATCAACGCAATGCATTGCAGTGGATTGCGGTGGATTGCGGTGTATTGTGGTGCAGTGTGGTGGAGCAGAGTCTGTGCTGTGGTGTTGGAGGGCAGTGGAGAGGTGACCACGCGAGCCAACTTCCTTTCTTCCTCCCTCCCTACATCTGCCCGTAATGCATTCCTATCCCCATAACAGGCGCTCCCCCACAGGCGAGCCGGTGGGAGCGACGTGCTTCATGCAAGATGTGGTAGAGAGGCGAGCAGCAGAGAATGCATCGGCTATGAAGATGGTGGCAGAGGCGGCCAGCCAGGCCAAGACCATGCAGCTGCGCGTGCTTGTGCCACGAGGTATGCAGAGGGGTTGAGTGCGGTGAGGAGGTGTGGCATGTGGTAATAGTGGTTCATTGATGGATTGAGTGCGGTAAAGGCAGGTCCAAAACTCTGGGGGCTGGCAGTGGGCAGCAGAGAATGCATCGGCAATGAAGATGGTGGCAGAGGCGGCGAGTCAGGCCAAAACCATGCAGCTGGCATGCTTGTGCCACGAGGTATGCAGAGGGTTGAGTGCGGGTGAGGAGGTGTGGCATGTGGTAATAGTGGTTCATTGATGGGTTGAGTGCGGGTAAAGGCAGGTCAAAACTTGGGGGCTGACGTGGGCAGCAGAGAATGCATCGGCAATGAAGATGGTGGCAGAGGCGGCGAGTCAGGCCAAAACACATGCAGCTGGCATGCTTGTGCGCAGAGGGGTTGAGTGCGGTGAGGAGGTGTGCTGTGCGTTGAAATGAGGTGGCTGGGTGTGTTGAGCGAATGCATCTGCAATGAAGATGGTGGCAGAGGCCGCAGCTGGCATGCCTGTCCCCCATGCAGCTGGCATGCCTGTCCCCCATGCAGCTGGCATGCCTGTCCCCCATGCAGCTGGCATGCCTGTCCCCCATGCAGCTGGCATGCCTGTCCCCCATGCAGCTGGCATGCCTGTCCCCCCATGCAGCTGGCATGCCTGTCCCCCATGCAGCTGGCATGCCTGTTCCCCCATGCAGCTGGCATGCCTGTCTCCCATGCAGCTGGCATGCCTGTCCCCATGCAGCTGGCATGCCTGTCCCCCATGCAGCTGGCATGCCTGTCCCCCATGCAGCTGGCATGCCTTTCCCCCATGCAGCTTGGCATGCCTTTCCCCCATGCAGCTGGCATGCCTTTCCCCCATGCAGCTGGCATGCCTGCCCCCCATGCATCCTTGCCCTCCACCCCCTTTCCCTTCCTGCATCCCCGCATGCACACCCCATGCATGCCACGCCTAATCTGTGACGGCTACCCTACATTCCCCCACATGTAATCCCACCACCGTCAGGTCTCAACCCTCTGAACGGCATCCTCTCCTCCATCAGCTTCAATGGAGGGCACCGAGATGTCGTCAGATCAGAGATATTCATCTGCCTCACCCATTGGCCCTGTGCCAGCGCCCCAATGCGTCTCTCTCCCCACCCAACCCACCCTTCCCTGCCTGCATCCCCTCCCCCCGCATCATCACCCCGCATCATCACCCCGCATCATCACCCGCATCATCACCCCAGCAATCATCACCCCGCATCAATCACCCGCATCATCACCCCACATCATCACCCCGCATCATCACCCTCATCATCACCCCGCATCATCACCCCGCACATCGCATCATCACCCCGCATCATCACCCCGCATCATCACCTCAGCATCATCACCCCGCATCATCACCCGCATCATCACCCCACATCATCCCACCGCCATCATCACCCCCGCATCATCACCCGCATCATCACCCCCGCAATCATCACCCCGCATCATCACCCCGCATCATACCCCGCATCATCACCCCGCATCATCACCCCGCATCATCACCCCGCATCATCACCCCGCATCATCACCCCGCATCATCACCCCGCATCATCACCCCGCATCATCACCCCGCATCATCACCCCGCATCATCACCCCGCATCATCACCCCGCATCATCACCCCGCATCATCACCCCGCATCATCACCCCGCATCATCACCCCGCATCATCACCCCGCATCATCACCCCCATCATCACCCCGCATCATCACCCCGCATCATCACCCCGCATCATCACCCCGCATCATCACCCCGCATCATCACCCCCATCATCACCCCCATCAGATCCGCAACCCTCTGAACGGCATCCTCTCATCCATCAGCTTCATGGAGGGCACAGAGATGTCATCCGACCAGCGGGACCTGCTGCACGCCACCTCGGCGTGCGGGTACGTATGTGTGTCTTCTTTGTCCGTCCGCTCTTCTCTTGAGGCGTCTCAGTAAACAGCTTCATGGAGGGCACAGAGATGTCATCGGACCAGTGGGACCTGCTGCACGCCACCAGCGCATGCGGGTATGTACATGTGTCACTCTGCTCTGCCATCCAATCCAGCACCGTGATTCACCCCCTTTCACCGCTCTTCATCTGCCCTTACCCTTGTTCACCCTGGTCACCCCTCCATATCGCCCTCAACAGCAAGTATCTACGGCGAGTGGTGGATTAATGTGTTGGATCTGAGCAACTCGAGGAGGGGAAGCTGGAGGTGGAGAGCCGGCTAGCACCATGAGAGTCACCTGCTGACACTGTGATTCACCCCTTGTCACCCCCTCTACATCCCTCCTCACCCCCCTGTCACTTTACAGCAAGTACCTGCGGAGGGTGGTGGACAATGTGTTGGATCTGAGCAAGCTCGAGAAGGGGAAGCTGGAGGTGGAGAGCCGGCTAGCACCGTGTTTCAGCTGCTGTCACCGTAATTCACCCCTTGTCACCCCCTCTGCATCCCATATCACCATTGTGTACTGTTCTACCCACCAGGAAGTATCTGCGGAGGGTCGTGGACAATGTATTGGATCTGAGCAAGCTAGAGGAGGGCAAGCTGGAGGTGGAGAGTGAACCGTTTGAGCTCATTCACGTGGTGGACGCCGTGATTGCACAGGTGAGTCCCTCCCTCCCCACATTTTTTTGGTGGGTGGGTCGAATTTCACCTCTTTCCCTAGCTGTGTAACCCCCATCATGCAAGCTGGAGGTGGAGAGCGAGCCGTTTGAGCTCATCCACGTGGTTGACGCCGTTGATTGCACAGGTGGTGGGATGGAGGGAGGCATGTGAATGCGGGAGACGACAAGGGTCTGCAGGTGTTCTTCTCGGTGAAGTTACAGTGTGCCAACTGTAACGGTCGGTGCTCCCTCCTCCCCCTGGCCTTCCCCCCTCCCCTCCCCCCTTCTCTCCCCAGGAACATGAGAATGCGGGCAACGACAAGGGCCTGCAGGTGTTTTGCTCGGTGAAGCCGCAGTGTGCCGATGTGATTGTAAAGGGCGACAAGCAGCGCGTGCAGCAGATCGTTGCAAACTTCCTGTCCCTTTCCCGCTACCCTCCACCTTCTCCTCCTCAACTCCCCTCCCCTTCTCCCCTCCCGCTGTTCGCGCGTCCCCTGTTCTTCTCCCACCTTTCCGGCCCGTTTTACCCACGCCAGGAGCATGAGAATGCGGGTGACAAGGGCTTACAAGTCTTCTGCTCAGTTGAACCTCAATGCGCCGACGTGATTGTAAAGGGCGACAAGCACCGCGTGCAGCAGATTGTCGCAAACTTCTTCCGTAACGCAGTGGAGTACACCCAGCAAGGCTGGATCGAGGTGCAGCTCTATAAAGCATCCGGCGAAGTGGCTTCTAAGGAGTATGGAAGAGACGCGCTGGCCGGAAGGCTCGTGCCCGGCCAGCAGACTGGGCAGCGGACCGGGCAGGGCCGAAAACGTTTCGGCTGACGGGGAGGAGATTTTTTTCGTTCGTCTTTTGTGTGGCGGATTCAGGCCCGGGGTTGAGTGAGGAGCAGCGGCAGCATGTGTTTTCGGGCATGGATCCTAGCTTGGCACCAGCCATCTCCAGTGGTGCTTCTTGACACTGAATCGCGGTGAGTAAGGCTGCTACTACTCCCGACGCTGGTGAGAGGTGGGTGCTGGGTTGTGAGCCTGAGCCTCATAGTAAGCCAGCAGGGTGGGGCCTGAGCCTCACAGTAAGCCAGAAGCTCGCCTCGCTGATGAACGGCACTCTCTCTTGCGACTCTGCCATTCCCCCCCCCTCCAAATGCTCCTCCTTCCTTCTGTTGTGTGACTTTCCCTCCCCTTTTCCATCTGCCCCTCTTTCCAGCAGCTCCTCTGCCCCAGCAGGATCAGGCCTGGGACTTATCGTAATTCAGAAGCTCGCCTCTCTCATGCACGGCACTCTCTCCTGCCACTCCGCCCCCTTCCAACGCCCCTCCTTCCATCGTTACATGCCCTGCCCCTGATCCCCTCTCTTCTCTCGCCCCTTTCCGCCCTCTTCCCAGCAGCTCCTCTGCCCCAGCGGGATCAGGCCTGGGGCTTATCGTAAGTCAGAAGCTCGCCTCACTCATGCACGGCACTCTCTCCTGCGACTCTACCCTCTCGCAAGGCTCCTCCTTCCGCCTCTCCCTCTCGCTCCCCTTCGCCGGCCGTTCCAATCACGCCGACCCTGCTGACGCTGGCGCTGACATGGCGGCGGGCCATGCCAGCCTGGCGCCAGGTGGCATGATGAGCTGTTACTTGAGCAACCGGGTGAAAGGGGTGGTGTATTCGTCGGTGGGGGTGTGGAGTAGTGCCGAGGAGATAGCAGCTGCACCAGTTGTACCTCCCTCTCTCTCCAGAAGCCTCCCTGCTTCTCTGTCTACCCCAACTGGCACGGCTGCTGGTGCTGCTGCTGCAGGGAGGGTGCAGACTGGACCAGGCTTATCTGGAGCAGGCTTATCTGGAGGAGCACATGTGACAGCTGGAATGGCAGGCATGACCCTTACTGGAGCACCCTCTCGTGGTCTTGCCCCTGGGGCTGCTGCTGGTGCCGCTGGTGCCACTGCTGGTGCCACTGCTGGTGCTGCTGGTGCAAATACCGCCAGTTCCTTTCACCAGCACAACTACCTATGGCGATGACTCTCTCACAGCTGCTGCTGCTGCTGTCTCTGGGACCACCGGTTCTGCTTCATTTGCTTCTGCTGGTGCTCCTGCTGCTGCTGCTGCTGCGGCAGCTGCTGCTATTCCGAGTTATAATCATAACGGGGCGGTCACGGCACAAGTGGGCGGAGGAGCAGGAGGACATGGAGGAGGGAAATGACAGTCGGGTGTTTTCGAGGTTGGAAAGCCATGGTTCGGAAGAGGGCTCGGCACATGCGGCAGCGGAGGGATGCTGACGTGGACGCTGCTGCGCTGGCGGCAATCGTTGAGCTGGAGGCTGCATATGGTGGTCGGGTAATGGTGCAGGTGTTACGAGAGGTGGTGGATTTCCGGGAAGTTGCGGTCTTGGTGGAAGTGGGTGTGATGAAGGAAATGGGTGACAATGGAGGCATGGAAAATAAAGATGGGACTGCGGGAAGCAACGAGATGGCTATTGTGAGTACGCAGCAATGGGGCTCAGCGCTGAGACTTGGGCCATTGGCTGATGCGTTGCGCAGTGCAACGAAAGCGGCGGTTGTAGCGGCCAACCGGACGCTTATAGCAGCACAAGCTCGAGGCGGAGGAGTTCACGGGCATGTGGTGTGCTAAGGATTCTTTGCTATGTATCATGTATAGGGCTAGTAGTTGTTTCTCTAGTCGTATGATTGTTTTGTTCTTTTGTGCATGTAACTTAGCCCACTTTGTTTGGTTTTTGTTCTTATGAAGTCGTCTACTGACGCGTAATGTGACTTCGCGTTGACGTGTCATTTGACGCCTTGCCTTCTGCCACGTGTTCCTCAGACCCATCCATGGAACAGACAGTGTTAGTTCGTTCATCGTCCAGAGCGGTTCAGTAAGATTCAACACGGTAGAAAACTAGTCTCATGCCGTACTGCCTTTGACCGTATTGCAACGAACTAAACCGTGCTGGGGGAGACTTCCCCGAGCGTCGTGTCAACACCAATCAGATCAGCCCATACCCCCTCACTTCCACGCTCCTCCATTCCGCTTCCCGCCCCTGCCCCCTTCCTCCCATCTGGATTTCCGCCAGTAATTTTCCGCCCGTGCAACATCTGGCCGCGCTTTCCCCCCATCTCCCTCGCAAGGCCGATTTCCCCGCAGGCCCGCCTGAAGGGTTTTGGCTCCTACGATTATTTCTACTTACCTAGTTATTTCTTCTCGGTTTCTGTTGCTTGTTCAGCGTCGTTCTGCCTGACGCACATTTTTTTCTCCGTACGATCCGCCGCATCCGTCGGGTCCAGGCTTCCGCCATGGCTGCCATGGCGACATTGCTTCCCGCTCTTAGCTCCGCCGCGGTTTCCGCCAGTTTCTCCACCGTCTCGTCGCGGAGCAAGAGCCTCGCATGTAAGTACCGTAGGTCTCAGGCCCGTTCACTAATATTTTCAGGCTTAGGCTCCCTGATTAGGGTTAGGGTCAAACTTAGTCTCAGGGGCTTTTGAACCTGAGAGTAGAGTATGTTTCCTTCATCACCTACGAGAAGCTACGGCTGGTCTGAGGGTTCGCTGCGTGTTGTAAGATTACCGACCTTTAGCATAACGTTCACGCGTGCAAGAAACTTCGCCAAAGAGTAGTGTGCGAATGGCATTATCTAGCATGCCCCTTGACCCTGGTAGAGCTTCTCCTAGGCAGCACAGGTTGCAAAAATGAGCCTGGACGGAACTGCTAGCTCTTTTGCAGCTCTTCGGAATGGCGGTGCAGGTGAAGGGGCAGACATTGAAGTGTGGGAGTAGAGAAGATAAAGCGGTGTAGCAATAGTAAATCGCGCTCGACCTGTGCGTGCTTAGTTCGAGTTGTGCGTGTTCAGCTCTCGCGTCGCGACTGCGTCGGAGACCTCTAGAAGAATCGTGTATTGAGCTGGACCTACTTAGCTCGTCCGCCTGGTTTTGAGACGTCTCAAAAGTCGTCTAGGGAATCGGGGCCTGTACTGAACCCACTTACCGGTGCCTCATCCGCCTGGTTCACTCATCTGTCTGGCTCATCCCGCGTACTTCATTTCACACCTCCATGTAACCCGCCCGGTCCCTTCATCGGACTTCGTCGATCTTTGTCAACCACCCGTATTGCTAGTCGGAATGCGCGAAGCACTCTTGAGTCGAAGTGACTCCATCACTCTGACTCATTCCGTCCCTCTGTCCTTCCGCCGTCCTCCACTGTCCCTCCTTTCCCTCCCTTCGCATCCCTCAGTCCTTTCTCTCTCTTTCCCCCCCCCCCCTTGATATAACGCATTCTTCATGCGTCCCTTTCCCCCTCCCTCCCCTTTTAACCAAACACTTCAAGTCGTTTCACCTAACCCTGGTCTCCCAGTCTCGCATTCCCTACCTTCCGCATTCCGCATTCTCACCCTCCCTTCCGGCAATCCCAAGTGTCTCTGCGCTCCATTCGCCTCGCCCCAAGCCACTTGCCTCTATTCCGTCACCTTTCCCGTGCCCTTTTCCCTTCCCCGCTTCTTCCCCCAACTCCCCCCTCCCCCCCCCCCGCTCTCTCCTCCCGCCATTCCCCCTCCCCTCTTTTCACCCACCCTGGCGAACCCCTCACTTTCTCCATGCGCTCTCTCCGCCTCGTTGTCCCCCAGGCCGCATGCTGCTGTGCCTTTACTTCCCCCTCACCTTGCCACTTTCCTTTCCCGTTCCTCATTCTCCTTCATCTCTCCCCCTCCTCCCCCCCCGCACCCCCCCCACCCCCCCCCCCCTCCTCTTTTCCCCCAGGCGAGCCCCTCACTTTCTCCATGCGCTCACTCCGCCTCGCCGTCCCCCAGGCCGCCGCCACCACCGCACCAGTGGTCGAGCTGGCAGCTGACGTGGCGGAGGCCACGTCAGCAGTGGAGGAGCTGCCGCTACAGTCAGCAGAGGACATCAAGGCGGCGCGGAAGGAGGAGCAGCGGCGCAAGCGATTGGTGCAGAAGAGGAAGCTGAGGAAGAAGGGCAGATGGCCGCCCTCCAAGATGAAGCAGCACCAGAATGTGTAACGCTGTTATGATGTAACAGAACGCTCGTATGATAACAGTTATAGATAATGGTGTAACCAAGATGTGCAAAAAGTGCTGCTTTGTGTGCAGATTGTTATACAGTACATGCTGCTGACGAACCAAATGCTTGAAGATACCGTATAAGGTGCTGCCTGGGTGCTGTAGAAGCGGATCTGACAAACCACATGCTCCGCACTTGCTGAGTGCTGCTGGCAACAGCAGAGAATATTGTACCATACGGCATGTTGCAGAAGAGGGACAAAGCTGAGAAAAAAAGGGCACAACAACATAGTAGTATAAGATGCATGCAACCCTGTGATGTGACACATGCAAGCAAATCATGTGACACCAAATTCAGTAAATGTAATAAATAGGCATGCAGTTGCAAAGCAATGCAAGGTACAGTAACATTCAGCATGTGCCTACATGGCATCAAGGCATGCCAGAGTTCAAGAGCACAACAACATTAACAACAATACCAATAATACCCACAGCTACACCCACCAACACCAGCAACCATGCCACCACTGTATCAGACACTGATACAGTCCCTCCCTTGGCCCTTAAAGCCACAAGCCCGGGGAAAACAAACCCTATAATAACCGCTGCGGTACAGCCCATAAACTGGAACACTATCCAGATATCCGGCACCAGCACCGCGCCACAGAAGGCTAAAACGAGGAGGAACACTGTAAGGAGTACGAAACGGACTTGACGCCAAAAACGCCGCCTTTTTGTTGCCTTTTCTTCTGCCCGTCGAAGCTCTTCAAGCCTTGCTTCCTCGTCCTCCTCTTCCTCTTCCCCTTCCTCCCCTTCCTCCTCGTCCTCCTCCGTCTCCTCCCCGTCCCTCTCTTCTCCCACCTCCTCATCTCCTACCTCCTCCGCTCCATCCTCATTCCCATCCACTTGAATATATTCCAGGGAATTTACCCTCGTCCTCTCCTTTGTCTGCCCGCTGCTGAAACCAGCTTCCCCATTTACAGCTTCAGATTTGCCATTGCTTGTGGTTCTTCCCTCGTCCCTCTCTCCTCTCCCTTTCCTTCCCAGACAAGCCGACAGCAGCGACGCCACAACCAGCCGCAGCTGAAACAGTGCCAGAGGCAGCGAAAGCACTCTGGAAATCGCATACCCCACCTTCACCCCCTGCCCCAGCGCAACCGCATGAGCCGCGATCACGGGGCTCATTCCTGGAACGACATCCAAGCTTGTGTCGAAATCGTAGAGCACGTCTGTGTGTACATCAGAGCCGAAGAGCACGAGGCCGAAAATGCCGACTGCGAGGTAGACGAGGGTGGTGATGATGACCGAGCAGCGCACGACCGTGCGCATGCGGGGGAGGGAGCGGTCCCTTAGCTCCCTGTAAATAGGGGTCACTGGTGGGATGGAATGGAAAGGTACAGTATAGATATTTGGCCATGGGAGGTAGACGAGGGTGGTGATGATGACCGAGCAGCGCATGCGCATGCAGGGGAGAGAGCGGTCCCTGAGTTCCCTGTAAAGCGGGGTCACTGGTAAGGTGGGGTGGAAAGGAACGGTAAAGTTTGACGGCTATGGGAGGTAGACGAGGGTGGTGATGATGACAGAGCAGCGCACGATGGTGCGCATTCGGGGGAGAGAGCGATCCCTCAACTCCCTGTATATAGGGGTCACTGGCAGAGAGGATGGAAAAAGGGATGTGGCGGGTGGGAAGGAGGAGCAAGATGAGGTGATGATGACAAATCAGCGGACGACGGTTCGCATGCGGGGGAGCGAGCGGAAATCATGAAGCATGGATGTGACTTATACAGTATACTTGCTAAAAAGAACTTAATGGGATCCATCTTGCTTGCTGTCGTTGAGACTAGAGAGGCGCACTCACCGTTGAAATGACATATGAAGATGTATGTGACGACGTTGATGACGCTGAAAACAGCAAGGGCGTGACCATCGTACCATGCTCTTTAAAGAAGAACTTGATACAATCCATCGTACCATTGAAATGGCAAATGAATGAGTTTGTGACGACGTTGATGATGCTGAAAACACCAAGGGCATAACCATTTACTTGTACTCTCTGAGCAGAACTCGACAGAATCCATCGTTCTCACCATTGAAATGGCATATGAAGGCGTTGGTGACGACGTTGATGACGCTGAAAACGGCAAGGGCATTGCCAGACGTGGCAAAGAGAGGTGGCATGGTGGCAGCACCAGCTGCAATCTTCCCTCCAGACAGCAGCAGCACGAGCAGCACGAAGGCAATTGCCAGGGCCACTGATATCTTGCTCGCGACCTTCATGGACCCTGATTGATAGGAAGGAAATGAAGAGGAGCGAAAAGAGGGATCGAGAGGGAGGCGGAGAGGAACCAAACGATGGGAAGGGGGAGGGGGGTGGGGTGGGAGGGGGCTAAAAAGGAGTTGGAACGAAAAGAGGGATCAGGATAATGGGGGAGAGGAACCAAACAATGGGGACGGGGAGGGGGGGGGGGTGGGAGATGACTAACAAGGAGTTGTTTCTAAGACGTCTCAACAACCATATATTATTGAATGGAAAGGAAGAGAAAAGAAAAGAGGGATCGAGAGCGTGGCAGAGAGGACCCAAACGATGGGGAAGGGGAGGGAGGGCTAACAAGGGGTTGGGTTCAAGGAGCAAGACGGAGAGAGATTGTAGTAAAGCAATCATGAAACACGGAATATGGGACATGTCACACAACACGGAACATGAAACATGGATGGGATGTGACATTGCGACATTGGACGTCTATGTATCAACAATCAGTGTCAAGCACATTCTGAATGCAAGACTTACCGAGTCTGTCTTGTAGGCAGAGAGGCAGAATAAGGAGAATGACTATAGAGAGGATAGACTTTCTGGCCACGTCTGGGGACAAGTGCAGCTGATCCAGTGGCAGAACGCCAGGTCCTGTTGCGCTGCCTACAAGCACATCCCCTGCAGTCACACATGGGAAATGAACATGGAAGTAGGGAGGGAAAACGGGAAGTAGGAAGGGAAAACGGCAAGTAGAATACGAGAGTGTGTATTTTATCAAGGATAATAATTCACAACAGCATATGGATGCCTATGCAGCTTCGGCAGTAACATTGGTGACGTCCACAGGAAGGGCAGATGAGAATGTGTGGTACAAACAAGAGTCACAAAACCTTTATGAGAATTGTAGTGTAATCGATTGGAGTGAATGGAAGTTGTGAATGAGATATCAAACAACACTATTGGAAATTTTGTTTCAGTGCTCCAATTTACAATTAGCATTGGAACAAGGAGTGAAACCCTCACTCACCGATGATATCAAGGAACACCATCATGAGACCAAGGTTGTTGACGACAACGAACGACACCTTTTCTGATGCTCCTTAAAATGCTTAACACTCACCGATAATATCAAGGAACACCATCATGAGACCCAAATTGTTGACAAAAATCACCACCACTCACCGATAATATCAAGGAACACCATCATGTCATGAGGCCCAAATTGTTGACAACAATCACCACCACTCACCGATGATATCAAGGAACACCATCATGAGGCCCAAGTTGTTGACAACAATCGACACCTGCAGCACCAGCCGTCCTGCGCTTCCCAGAGCCGTAGCCACCGTGTGGTTATAACTCAGCTTCTCCTCATCCCACATGCCGAAACTGCGGCTGCCAAACACCTTTTAGGCCGCTAAAAGTGTGATACACTCACCAATAATATCAAGAAACACCATCATGAGGCCGAGGTTGTTGACAACAATGGACAACTGCAGCACCAGCCGTCCCGTGCTTCCCAGAGCCGTAGCCACAGTGTGGTTATAACTCAGCTTCTCCTCATCCCGCATACTGAAACTGCGGCTGCCAACACCGCTGAAATTCCCTCCATTGCTAGCGTTTGCTTTTCTTCCCAGCTCTCTGGGATTGCCGTCTCTGCCTCTTCCTGCTGCTCCCGCGGCGTCATTTGACGTGTCAGATTCCCGAAACCGCGAAGGGTCCTCAGAAGAGGATGGAGAAGCAGCAGCAGCGGCGACGGTACAGCGAACCATGGCCATGACGGATCCATAGGTTAATAACGCCACGAAGATAAGCGCTGCACTCCCGGTCACGACTCCTAGGACGTTCATAGCTGCAGGCAATGCCATCATGCCCGCGCCAATCATCGTGTTCGAGAGATTAAATATAGAACTCTTTAAGGACGTGGTTCCGTCCTCACGAGCTCGAGTAACCACGCGCGCTAGCGATGGAGGCGGAGGCTGGGACGGAAGGGGCGGCTCGGACGGCGGAGAGGGCGGCAGGGATGGCGGTTCCCTCTCAGGCAACCCATGAGTTGACTCAAACGACTCTTTTCCTTCTTCCTCGTCGGGCAGAAAAGGAACCTTTTCGTGAAGCGACGCGAGGGAGCCGAAAGGTGAGGGTGATCGCTGGACATGGGGCCGGCGACCGGGAGGAATCGCTCGATTTCCGGGAAAGGGGACTTGAGGGGGTCCTGTACGCCGAGCATGCTGATTACTGACGGTCGGAGCAGCACCAGGCCTAGACCCAGGTCTAGTTCCCCTTCCCGGGAGGACAATGTAGGGGTTGACTCCAGGAGCTCGGCCAGGAACAGGAACGGCTCCATCCTCGATATAATCGGACTCTCTGTCCGATGGTGGGAGGCCGGTGAGAGAAGATCCGATGGCAGTTTGCGGGGATGGTGACGGCGATGGCTGGCTAGGACGATAGGGAAGCCCGTAGAAGAAATCTAACGGGCTTCGGCCGCTTAGAAGGGGTTCGGTTATGGGTAAGGAACCGACTAGGTCTTCGAAAGAGTCACGGAACCGGCTGATGCCAGTGCGGTTGTTCGCCATTTCGGAGATTTGTTTTGCCTTTTTTATTGTTCAATAAAAAACAGAACGGCGAAGGTGGTCGGAAGAGAGTGAAGAAGACTCTCTTACAGTATTGTTAGGCAGCTCAATGGAGCCCCTGTAAACTGGAGCTACAGCTCTAGGAAGCCATAGCTCTAAAGAAGGGAAGCGAGCAGCATTGGGAGAATGCCATATTTGTGTGGAAGTGGAAGAACAATTGAAGAAGCATGTCCCATCCCGATGCAGTTGATCGGAGGGGGAATTTGGGGTAATTCTCGATGGATGGAAAACGGGCTTCTCTGTGGGGAGCACAAATATATATATACATGTTCAATTAGCTAACTTGCTGTGTAGGAGACATACCACGAGGAGCGCCATTCAGCGTTCTCAAATGGGTTGGGTATTGATCAATTTGGTTTCACTTCAACAGGGAAAACTCTTGGGGTGACTTCAGGAAAATAAATACACAACCCAACCACACAACGCCGTCAATTCGCCGCACCTGATAGCGTCCTCCTCCCTGATTGGTTCACGAATTGCTTTCGCACAACCATGTGGTGTTCTCGAGGCCGAAACTCTCAAGACATTCTGCTCTTCCCTACCCACAAGTTCAATCTGCTCTTCATTTCAACCAGATCCCCTCCAACAACCATCCATTCCACTTCTCTGCTTCCCTTTCCACACACTCGTTTTCCCCAACAAAGCAGCCAGCAACTATCGCTCCATTTTTGGCCAAGATGCCGAAGACATACACTTTGGTTAGAGATCATGTGAAGTCACAGCAGAGAACATCTCTTCTGTGTGGAGCGACGCTCGGCCTCCTTACAATCATTCTCCTGCTTGTTGGAGATGGAGCATTTGAATTCATAAATTCTCAGCCGATGGCTGCTGATACGTGCGCATGTGCAGATGCTACTAAGACACTTCGAATTCCAGTCGTTTACGAACGTAGTTCCAGATTGCTTGTGACAGTTCCGGCAGAGAGAAACGATGAAACGTCAGGAGATGACCCACTTCCACTATATCGACTGAGAGGCGTCACGACATTCCTGGACTTCATGCGGAGGCATTTTGGATCAGATCTTAGCAACGTTACGATGCTGGAGAACGGCAGTGATGTGACCGGGAGCGTTGGAAATGAGCTGGGAAAAGTGGTTGGCAAGTACGTTGGCGTTAACTGCCCTTTTGAAGGGGATGACACTTCGGCACTGAAAGTCAAGCGAAATAACACGATGTTTCTGAGCACCGACTGCAAGACTCTGCCGTTCCTGAACGACACATTTGACGTAGTCTTCAGCGACAACGTTCTGGAGCACGTTGCTGACTTGAAGATGTTTATCAGTGAGACGTTCCGCGTCCTAAAGCCTGGAGGGCTAGTTCTGTTTTTATGGGACCCTGTATGGACGGGACCCTTTGGCCACCACATACACGAAGACATGGTGCAACGACGAGCTACAAGGATGGATGCTTCTTTCAGGTATGTTTCTCACTGCTTTCTTTTCATTGCGTCTTCTTGAGCCAAGTTAACAGGTGACAAAACCTGCAGATATGTGAATAACGGATCCTTCATTCCTCCGTGGGGGCATCTTTTATTGTCCAAGCAACAGCTGAGGACGATCCTAATTGAACAAAACATGGGACCGGTTCCTCTAATAGATGGTATCCTGGAGTTCATTTACACCCAGAAGAACATCAACCGACTGCCCCTCAGCGAATTTTGGGAGAAACTTCATTCCTTCAGCTGGGTTCCGCTAGATGAGAGCAACCATTGTCAAGGCATTACAAGAACATGGACCAGCCTGGATGGCACTGAACAAGTGGTGCGACCATTACTGACACAAGACATGCTGCAAGCACTGAAGGACCAGTATCCTACAGAAGATCAATTTGACATCGGGCCATGCATATTTGCTGCGAGCAAATAGAAACCCGTTACTGGAAAATTGTTCATCGGTGCACTGCACGGTCTATTGAGGAATTGCGTCAGGACACACTTGATCCCACGGGTACGGGAACTTGAGAACAGCCTGCCTATGTGGGAGATCCCATGAGCTGTAGGCATATCTGCAAAACCACGAAATGCTTGTAGTATCACAGAAGTTGCACTCTGCAGAGACATGATTGGATCCTCAACTTACATGTGGATTGGAGGTTCTGATATGATGACTAGAAGCTGCAGCAAGTTGCAGGACTCTGAGCCACATTCAGGAGCGCTGTTCAGGATCTGCAGCACATATAGTCAAGAATAACTCTTGGAGTGATTCACAGATGGACGCATCTAGAAAGGATAAACAAAACAAGAGGCAAATACCTGATGGACTTGATTAGAAGGCACTATGAAGGTCATATTCGCACTGATGGGACTAGAAACAGGGAGACCTGGTATGCTTTGCTCCTTTTCCCTTTCTGGAGCCTGCATTGTGCCTTGTGCATCAAGATCAGGGACATTTGGAGCAAACAGCAGCTTCCCTGTACCATTAAGGACTACAAACAGCTCCTCACATCCATGTCTGTGAATGGGAGTTCCACTTCCGGGAGCAAAGGTCTGCATCCATACTTCAACCTGATAACAAATCACAGATTTTTTCATGAATATACCAGTGATGCCTACAACCATCGGAAGCGAGCCTATCCAAGTATATGCATACCTCTTGTGTACCATGGTGAACATGGCCCGCAATTGTAGCGTGAGACAACCCAGGGCGGCCAAAGTTTGACAACAGAATTGAATCGATGCTTCTCACAAAAGGAAGACCTGGAAAACAGACAGGGACGGCATGGTGTGTAACTACCAATCAAAACGGATGCTCAGGATTATGTTGAGCAGACAACATACGGAACTACACACGCACCTCACCTGCATGACTGCAGTTTGCCAGCTCAGGCTTTGCCGCAACCACGAGTACTAGAGCATATGCAGCACTGAAGATAGCACAGTGAAGAGAAAGAATGGCGCCTCTATGAAGCATGCTGACGATATCACCCAACATCTTCGAGCAGAGCATCTCATGGACACAACTATCGTCCGTATGGAGCAGTGAGGGAAGTCTAAAGCAGCTACCAAACCTACAGCCACGGAAACGAAATCACTATTTCCGTGCACCCTACTGTACCAATCTGACTAAACCCTGTCGTCCGAAGATAGCGTTCGGCCGGACGCCAACGACGCCGCTTCAGCCGCTGATTTCGCCTCCGCTCTCTGCTTCTCAACTGCCTGCTTCTCAAGATACAGCGATCCCAACACACCCACGAACGCAACCGTGCCGACCAACGCAACCGCCGCGTTCGGCTTTATGAAGAGCTCGGGGTTCAGCACGCGAAAGAGCCGAGTGGATCGCGGGCCCGGGAGAGGATTCTTCGGACCCGCAGGGCCTGCGGCTTCACTGGAGAAGAACGCTGCGGAAGACGTCGTGCCACCCGCACTGATACCCGCGCGACCTGGTGACCTAACTGGATTGAAAATGGTTTCCCGGATAAACCTGGGAACAGGGAAGCGAGTGGACATGGCAGTAGACAACCTGCAAGATCGCTCGGTAATAAATGCCTGCCTACTTTCTCTCGGAGGAAAATAGGAAGCTACGGAATATTGGCGAAACTACTGGCAGGTCTATGCCTGAAAATGTCCAAAGTGGCTCCACCTTTTTTGTTCCCTTTACCGCCCTGAACCGAATTCGACCGCATGTTCGTCTTGTGCTGTGTGTTCTTTCTTTCCCAGGCTACCCTTCAAGGTCATGTTCGTCCGGTACGTTGCGGTCCTAAGCGGTTAATTTTCGGCATTTTATCGCATATTTAGGGTGCGTCAGATCCGTTGTCGGAAAAATCCGGCCGGCCGGAATTAGCGAAAGTAGCAAGTTTGCGATACTCGCGCAAATTGTCGTCGAATTCGCTAGATCCGGCCATTTGTAAAAAAAAATGATGGCCGGTTCAGCATTCGACAAAGTTCCGACGTGCAGTCGACTCGAAAGTCGACCAATTTGTCGACCTGAGATCGCTACAGTCACTATACGACGTCGCCAGCTCGTGCGACGCAGCGTGTCACACAAGTACTGCATCTGCGACTCCGTCGCACAATCCGGCCACTCTAGCGAACTGAAAATCTGACACATTTGCAAAGCGGCCTGCAAATCGGCCACCAAATGTGTCATATTTTTCGGCCCTGTAAATGTGGCCGGATATTGGTCGCTTTTTATGTCGACCATGTTGTCGACTTTGGCGAAAGATACAGTCGACCAAATTGTCGACAAAATTCCAGCCAAATCACATTGTAGCGGATCTGACGCACCCTTATTCACTCAGCAAGTTAGCACTAGGAATCAACAAACGACGCAGACAAGGCCGCACCTTTCCAAGTCGCTTCGTCGTCTCCCAATATTCGCCTCCGTTTCCTCCTCTCAATCCGTTGCGCAAAGCAATAGATGGTTCCACTCTGCTCTCCCATACACGTTCTTAGAGGCAAACTCCTTGTCCGTACATAATCCATTACCGTCCAGTTCACACCGTTTGATATCCAGATATTTTCCCTTCTCTCGTCAACTCTCAACTACTACCTAGTTTTGCCATCTGCAAGCGTCGTTTTCCTGCTCGTTCCCCGTATTAATATTATCATTATATATTGTTAGCATCTACCTAATTTTCCGCACAAGAAGCTGACGACGACTCCGTGGAAATGGCAGCGACCACGCCAAAAAACTCGACAGAATGTGACGCTGCGGACGCCGCTAACGAGGGCAAAATTAATGTTCCAGAACCTGGAGCTTGTGATTTAGTACCCTCT